CCCCAAAACCCCAAAACCCCAAAACCCCAAAACCCCAAAACCCCTTTAGTAGCTAAATAGATTGACCAATTTAATTTATTTGACAACCTAATATGGAAGCACAGTCTGAAGGATCGGAAGATAATGGAATAAGGTGGAATATATGTGTAGATGGGTCTGATATTTGAGTCAGTGCCTTCAACACTGTATTTAAAAACCTTCGAAAAGGAAACGATTTCACTATAATTACTCATATCTCTAACGATTCAAAAACTTACTTGGACATGAAATTTAAGCCTGATATTATTAAGCAAGATTACGAGTCGTGGATGATTGGAGTTCACTCAAGTCATTGGGAACTGGTTTTCCATCACAAAGAGTCTGGGCTAACCACACAAGAGCAGATAGTAGAATTAACAGACAGCTATAAATCTGATATCTTAGTTTTGGGATACCATGGCCGGAAAGGAGTTAAAGAGGACCCAACTCTCCTAGGATCTAATGTTGATCTAATAGCTCATAACCCAGTTTGTCCTTTACTCGTCATTAAGAGGGAAGAAAATCGAGCAGAGAAAGAAACAAAGGGATTTAGGTTCGTAGTATGCATAGATGGTAGGGCTAAGTCCTACAAAGCATTAGATACTATTGCACATATTGTTGATAAAGAGAAAGATGAAGTCATTGTCCTCACAGTTGCTAGAGTAGTTATTGACACCGATGCTGTGAAGGAAAGAACATCTACGTTCTTAGATGAAGCAGGGATAAAAAATCATCACTTTGAACTCCTGGAGAGAGAAATGAACGAGAGATATTATGAAGCACTCATTGATTACATCAATATTGACGACACACCTTATGTTGATTTTGTGGTTCTGGCTAATAGAGGAGTCAATCATAAGCATCATACTGAAGATAAATACTTAGGAAAGGTTTCAAAGAAAATACTATTTCATTCCAAAGCTAATGTTCTCTTGGTGGCATAATTTTTGATGAAATTAACGTTCTCAACTTATTTGATGAAATTTGGGGTTTTGGGGTTTTGGGGTTTTGGGGTTTTGGGGTTTTGATGGAAGGTTTTTGTATGGGCAACTTTCT